GGGAGGGGGATTGGGGCGGGGTCGGCTGGGGGAGGTGCCTGAGATAAGGCAGGGCTCCTGGCAAGGGTCTGCGTTGGACTTAGGGGTGGGGCTCATGAGAAGGGCTTGGGGTGGGGCAGGCTCAGGGGCGGTGCTAACTGGAGAGCCTGGGGTGGTCTCAGGGTCGGGGTCTGGGTCTGTGCTTGGAGGAATCCTAGGAAAAGACCCAGGAGTGAAGGGGGGGGGGGCATAGCGCTGTTGGGGAGCCGGCCTGGGTTAGCCCTGCCTCCTGGACTATGCGCTCTGCTCCTGCCCCCCACTGGTGGCGGCCCTGCCTCTGGTCGGTTGCGGCTTCTCTGCTCTGTCCAGTCATGATGCTGCTCCGACTTACCAGGCAAGTTGACTGGGCCACAGTTTTCCTGCCCGGCATGTGGAGGAGAATCCTGCCCTGAGTGTGGAAAGCAAAGGCCTTCCCGCACCCCCCGCCCCCGCCCTGTTTGTCCTCTCATGCTCCCTGCTCTTCCCTCCCTTTTCTGGGGTCCGGCCCCTCTCCCCACAGTGGCCCTGCTCTGCATCTCCCGTGGTGGGCACCCCAGTGGGGTGGGGCACTCCTGGTGTCTGCTCAGACTCAGTGGGCAGGGGGCTCAGGGACTATGTGGTTCTTGGTCCACAGCCTTGCTCCTCAACCTGGCACCTGATCTCTGGGTCACACGGGACTTCTGCAGACCTAGGACGCAGCATCTCCAAACTCCCAGGGCCCAGATGCTGGCCTACCCAGCTCCGAGGCCTGCTCAGGGGCCAGGTGATGGCCATGTGCCTTGGGGACGCATACCTCTGCTGTTCTCTTGGGGCCAGAGCTGGGCAGCCAGCTGGAACAGAGCCTTGCCAGGGAAGTGGCCACTGTCCAGTCTGAGGAGGAGCTGACCACGGAATTGGGTGGCCTGGGGCGGGTCGAAGGGCACAGAGATGGTGGTAAGTTGATTGGAATGAGGGTCCAACAGGCGTGAGGGGCAGGCGCTTCTGCCTTGGCCTGGTTGCTGAGGAGGGGTGAGACCGGAGGTCAGATAGTGCCTGGCTGAGGCCTTGACCACTGAGTGTGTGTGTGTGTGTGTGTGTGTGTATGTGTGTTGGGGTGGGGGGGTGGCATGAAGTGAGGGGTGGAGACTCAGCGTTCACTGGGGTCTCATCAGGTTCAAGGGGTCGTGAGGAAGCCAAGTAGGGAGACAGGCGCTGGAGAGAAGGCCTGGGCTCCCAGCCTCACAGTGTCCCCTCGGCCTGGCCTCTCTGGAGCAGCTGGCAGGGCCACTGACTTGGGGGTTGGGTGGGGGATGGGGGCAAGGTGGTGCATTATAGGGGTGTTCCAAAGTAAGACGGGCATCCAGGCTTGGGTATCCTGGATCCCAGTTGCTCAGGAAGGCTGGGATGTCCCCGGGATGGGCTCAGCTCTCCTCTTCAACAGAATGCCACCTCAGGGCCATGAATAAGATCAAGCACACGGAGGTTTGGCACATGCCTGTACCCTCACAGTAGTGGCACACACACACACACACACACACACACACACCGACACAGGAGGGTAAGTTGGAAACTACGGCTGTAAGATCACAGGGACCTCCATAAACAAACCATCAAATGGTTTGTTTCTGTTGTTTCTGGACAGACATCTCTCCCATCCAGATCTCTGTCCGCCCTTCCCCCAAGCCCTCAGCACCCTCCTATTCTCGAGGGACCCAAATCATGTTCCTTCCCACTGCCTTGGAGTCTGGGCGCACCGAGAGTGGTCTGCAGGGGCCAGATCGGGACGGTTGGGTGGGTGGCGTAAGGTTTCTCAATGAAATGCCTGTGCCATGGCCTTTGGTGCCCACAGAGAGGGGTGTGTGTGCTGTGGAGATGCCTGAGGCTCAACCCCCCTGGCTTTGTCCCTCACCAGTGCAGAAGACCGTCTTCTTAAAATGGGCTCCCAGGGGCCAGCCCCCAGGGCCCCCATGTGCTTGGACGGTGGCGGTGACTTGAGCAGGCCCGGCAGTTCCCTTTTCTCAAGTCACTTTGGAATGAGTGGTTTGTGTTTTTTAAAGACAACGAGAGGAAACACCACCCTACTTCAAACTCACTGCCGTGCAGCGGATCTGTTTCCTAGCAACAGCAAACATGGCAAAGATAAGCGCCGGACCGGGAGCGCTTGCCTGCAGCCGCCCACCGCTCACAGAGACAGGGGCACACACACATGAGCCTACACGTGTATGAACGTCGGTCTGAAACGGATCACGCGTGCGATCAAGAGGCATTGCTACCTACTGGAGATTGGAGCGCAGAGGCTGGAAACAACGAAGAAGGACCAGTAACTGGGAAATATAGACGTGGAGATAGAAATGATGCTAGAGGTCACATGATAGGGTTGTGTGAGACCAACAACTTCTCTGTGGCGAATACCCTTTTTCAGCAGCACGGACTTCTCCAGATGGGACGCACAGAAATTAAATTGACTGGGAAATTACATTGGGAAGACACGTGCATAAACTCAGTATCAGTGGCTAGAACCAAGTCAGGGGCTAGCTGTGCAACAATTGCTTCCCCGTAAGCTCAGGATAAAGCGGACGACAATGAAAACAAGTTCACGAGCGCCAAAATGGAACCTTCAGTTGATCCCACCTGAAGTTTGAGAACATTCAAGAACAGATTGGATCCGCTGACCACTCAGGACAGAAGCCCCGATGGGCTGTGGGAGGACCACAAGGTCATCAGGCATGAAGAAAGCAAGAGAGAGCCTTACCGGGACAGGGAGGAAACACGAGATATAAGTGGATGTCAGCGGAAACTCTGAACCTTGGTCTTCAGCGTAGAGTAGCTAAGGCGTGTGAAAGAAACGATGGCGTGAAAAGGCTGAACAGAGCATTTCAAAGGGCAGCTTGAGGAGACAACGTCAAATCTCATCATGAAATGGGCAAAAGACCTGGAATTAGAAAGACCCAAGGGAAGAGCCAGCTCAGCGTATCTTAAATTGGAAGAACGTAAGAAAAACAGTCAAGCCTCGAGTTGTAATACTCCAAGATTCTGTGGGCAATGCACTGAGTGATGCGGGAAGCATCTCGAGAAGATGGAGTAGCCTTGGTCCGGCGTCCCTGTGCCGCCGCGTGGTTGATGCAGGAGGTGGAGCCAGGTGCTTGGACTGCTGGGGCCCCCAGAGCAGCCCCAACACCCGCAAGCTGCTGGCCGGACGGATCTGGGTCCTGAAGGGAAAGCTGGGACGCAGCGGGAGCAGGACCTGTCTGAATAGGAGCAGCGGGTTAGGCTCTTGTGTGAGTCCGGCTGACTAGAGAAACAAATCCAGAGACACTCATGGGTGTAAGAGAGAGCGTTATATCAGAGAGCAGTTGTATATTGAGAAAACATCCCAGACCTGTCCAGATCAAGTCCATAAGTCTGATATTAGCCCATATGTCTAAGACTAGTCCATAAATTCCGCTTTAGACTCACGCAGCCGTGCAATGATGCTGAATGCAGGAAGATCACAGGCCAGTGGGGGGAAAGTCTTGTGGATGTAGTAGTGCTGGAAGCATCTCAGCGCTGGTGTGGGTCTCCACGTGGCTCCTCCAGCTCCAGGGCTCTGGCTCCATCAGTGTAGCTCCATGTGGCTGGTCAACAGTAAGATGAAGCAGAGAGAGTGTGTGTCCTGCCTCTAGGGAGGAAGACAGGAGTTCCCAGAATCCTCAGGAGAAGGCCATGCCCACCCAGAGTCATCATTGGCTATGACCTGATTGACAGGCTAGACTCCACCCCTTCACTCAACTTGACAGGAGATGATGTCACTGCCAGTTTTCAAGAAAGAGATTGGCTGGGAGATGTGAAGAGAGGCTATTTTTACCTTTATGGGCCAGAAATGACCACTGCTATTACCAACCACTTCCTCCTCCTCCTCCTCCTCCTCCCACTTGCATCTCACCCTTGGCACCATGAAGACAGCAGTACCTGACCGATGTGTGGGTGAGGGAAAGGAAGGCCTTTGTTCGCAGCTTCTCAGAGACCTGGTCAGGAGACTGGACCTTACCCAGCGACTGACCTCCTCAGATGGTTTATGGGGACGTCTCCAGGCTGTGCCGTGCAAACCCCGTGCGTGTCCGGAGGAGGCCGTCAATCAGGACTGGAGCCGTGTGACTGAAAGCTGTGGTGAGGTATGCACCCCTTTCTGAGTTGGCAGAGGACGAGGACTTGAAAAGTTCTGCTATGGGCTTGTTGAAGCGTCCCTTCAGTCTTCTCAGGAAATGTAAGCACTGCTTTTTAAAAATATCACTTTCTGCAGCTGGAGTGCAGGTGACTTCTTTTGTCAGCTGTGCTGATTTCCTGCTAATACCTATGATGAGACTATTAAATGGCTATTGTTGGGGTTGGAGGGGGGAGAAGATGGAAAGAACACACAGAGTCACTGGACCAAAAAGAACTAGTCGACATTGCACCAGCGCAGGAGGCGGCATCTGGGCAAGAGCCAGCGGTGCTGAAGGAGGAAGTTCAAGCCGCACTGAAAGCATCAGCCACAAACAAGGCTCCGGGAATGGGTGGAAAAGCACCTGAAATGTTTCACCAAGCTGAAGAAGCCCTGGAAGCCCTCACTCGTCCACGCAGGAAATCTGGAAGGCAGAACTTGGTCTGCTGACTGCAAGAGAGCCCTATTTAAACCCACTCCAAAGCAGGGCGACCCCACAGAAAGCTCAAATCATAGAACACTGTCACTGAGACCACACGCAAGCAAAACTCTGCTGAAGATCATCCAGCAAGAGATGCAGCAGGACCTGGACAGGGAGCTGCCAGAAGTTCAGGCCGGATGCAGACGAGGACGTGGAACAAGGGAGCTCATTGCCGATGGCAGATGGATCTTGGCTGAAAGATGTTGCATTGACTATGCAAAGGCACTTGACGGAGTGGATCATAACAAGCTGCGGGGAGCCACGAGAAGAAAGGGGAATTCCAGAAGGCACCACTGTGCTCATGTGGAACCTGCATGCGGATCACGAGGTAGTTGTACAAACAGAACAAGGGCAGACCACGTGGTTGAAAGTCAGGAAAGGTGTGCAATAGGGTTGTATCTTCATACCTTACTTGTTCCATCTGCATGCTGAGCAAATCATCAGAGAATCTGGATTCGATGAAGAAGGATCCAGTATCAGGATGGGGGGCGCTCATTAACAACCTGCAGTGTGCAGATGACACCACCTTGCTTTCTGAAAGCGAGGAGGACTTGAAGCCCTTGCTGATGAAGATCAAGGATTGTAGCCTTCAGTGTGGATGACGACTCCATGTGAGGAAGACCGAAACCCTCACCGCTGAACCACTAGGTGAGATCATGATCAATGGAGAAAGGGTTGAAGTTGGCAAGGGTTTTATCTCGCTTGGACCTACAAGCAGTGCTCATGGAAGCAGAGATCGGGACATCCAAGGAGCATTGCATGGGCTAAATCTGCCGCGCAAGAACTCTTTCGAGTCTTGAACACCAGGGGTGTTGCTTTGAGGACTAGGGTGTGCCAGCCCCAAGCCATGGTGTTTGCCATTGCCTTCTACACATGAGGAGGTTGGGCACAGACTAAGGAAGATGAAGACGCACTGAAGCAATCGAGCTGGGCTGCTGGAGAAGGGTACTGGACGTACCACGGACGGACGGACTGCTAAAGGGCACAACCGAGCCGTCTTGGACAAAGTATGGCCACTGGGCTCCTTAGAGGTAAGGAAGGCAAGACTCCCTCTTACAGACTTCAGACATGTTTTCAGGAGAGACCAGCCACTGGAGAAGGCCGTCCTCCTTGGTAACACGGAGGGGCAGCAGACAAGAGCAAGGCCGTCGAGGAGACAGACTGACACCGTGGACAAACGGAGGAGCCATCCTGTGGGTGGGGCAGGAGCATGTCCGTCTGTTGTGCAGGCCGTGGTTGTGGGTCAGAACAAACACTACGTGTGTGAGCTGGGGCCCAGGTAGCAAACTTCCTGACTTCTGTTTGGGCCACACGGATGTACATACAGTGGTGCGCGCGCGCGCACACACACACACACAGCACCCATTCGTGGATACAGCCACAGCCCTGAGCACACGGCATGTCGTGGAAGCTCCGCCTGGGGCCTGGCCCACTCACTGCTGCTCTGAGCCAGGCCCATGATGCCCCCATTCCTCTCTGTGCCCTCCCAGCCGGGCACCCACTGGCAGTGGCCATTCTGGGTGAGTCAGACCAATGAGCCCCATGGGGTGGGCTTGGGTGCTGAGTGAGTGGGTGGTGGCACCATCAGACCTGACCCCTGCCCGGCAGTACCCCAGCACCCCTGGGCCTGACCCTGTGCCCTCCCTGCAGGTGGAGCGGGAGATCGCCATCCTGAAGCTGATCGAGCACCCGCATGTCCTCAAGCTGCACGATGTCTATGAAAACAAAAAATATTTGTAGGTATTGCTGGGTGTGGAGAGCTGGGGAGGGAGGGAGGGAGGCGCAGATGGGTGCTGGCAGGGCCTGGGTCCCAGACCCTGCTGGGAGTATGGCTGGGGAGCGGGGTCCTCTCTGAGCAGTCAGCAGGTGGGCGGCAGGGCTTCTGGAGGAGTGGGCTGGGGGCTCCTTCCCACCGCTGCCTGGTCAAGGGGAAGAAGTGGCCACCTGGGCACCCCCATCCCCCAAAGCCCACCTTGCCAAGAGCTCCTCTGGGAAGTTCATGGGCCCTTTTCTCTCCCATGGATTCTTGGTCCCCTGCCCTGTCTGTCCCCCCTGAGGCCTTGGGTCCCCCACCTCCCTCGAGGGCCCTGCACACCTGCCCTCCCCACTGACAATAACTCTGCTTCTCACCCTGGGTGGCTGAGCTGGCAGAGGCCAGGAGGACATGCTGCCCCCGCCTCCAGGCAGGAACAGGGGTCAGCAGGCATTGTTGGGACCCCAGCCTCGCCCATTGCTCTGTGTGTGGCCTGCCAGTAGCTTGATTCCTCACTGTCCTGGGGCTGGGGGACAGGACCATGAAGCAGGGATGGACCCAGCTCTGCCCCCACCATGTGTGTGGTGTCATCAAACCCTGGTCCTCAGGGGTGGGGCTTCATGGGGACAGAGGGCACTACCCTGGGAAGGCCTCCCAGGCGTTGTCATGTCCCTGCCCCCCACTCAGCGGGAAACCAGGCCTGCTGGCACTCCTGACACCTTGGGTCCTGAGTCCTGACTTCTGAGGTCCTTGGGTCTGGGGGTCCTGGGCTTTTGCATTGGGTCCTTGGGTCTTAGGGTCTTAGTGTCTTGGGCCCTAGGGACTTAGAATTCTTGATTCTTAGAACCCTTTGCTCCTTGGGCCTTAGGGTCACCGGGTCTTAGCGTCCTTGAGGCTTCGGCCACAGGCTGAGCTGCCCACCCTGCTGGGCATCCGCGGCTGATACTGGTTGAGTGCCTGCTCTGTGGGCAGGGTTCTCGGGCCTTGTGGGGGG